TTGTCACATTTACATATGCCTTGAATTTTAATGTACTTGTAAAGTGTTGACTGTAATACATACATAATAACCACAATCGTGAAATTTTTTTTTTTTTATGATCTGTTTTCACCTATTTAGCGGGAACTCCAGAAGATAAAATGAGGCTGTTTCTTATCTATTATATAAGCACACAACAAGCACCTTCTGAGGTATGTCCTCTATTCAGTTATTTGGAGGAAGGGAGAATGCTTGTTTGCAGAGTACTGCAGTTAGAGTTTTAAAAATAAATGTAAAATCATTATGGCTAAATACCTATTTCGTGCCTTTCTTTAAGAGAAAAATAGTTTGTTAAGGTTAGTTCAGTTTACTGCTGGTTTTTATAGCAATATTTATTGTCATCAGGAGAAACTATCCACTCATGAAACATCTATTTTTAAGTTGTTGTAATATGAACTGACTTCAAGTGGCCAAAATTTATATTTTTGGAATACAACTATTCTAATCTAAGCAGGTTTACTATGCTTTTTGAAAAGTTGGTATTTTTAAGATTGTTAGAAAACTAATGTCCAATGTAGAAAATATCCTCTAGTGCAACGGCCTGTGGATCACGACCACAGGGCTGTGGCATTAAGATGGTTGAGAACCACTCCTCTAGTATCTATTCTATAAAGGAAAGTGGTGGTTTTTATAACAGACTTCTTGCTAGGTTGTCTCTTGTTGGATTAATAATTTTTTTTCCAAAAAGTGTTTGAATGAAGATGGGTTGCCTCTTTCTAATGTTAACTCAGTGTAGTGTTACTGGATGAGCAACGAGCATAGATACCTCCAAGATGGCATCCATAACGATAGAGCTATTCAAAGTGTCTTTTCTGGCTCAGCACCTGTGGCTCAAGTGGCTAAGGTACTAGCCACATTCACATAAGGTGGTGGGTTCTAATCCAGCCCAGGCCCACCAAACAACAATGATGGCTGCAACCAAAAAATAGCCAGGCGTTGGGCGGGCGCCTATGGTCCCAGCTACTTGGGAGGTGGAAACAGGAGACTCGCTTGGAGTTGAGGTTGCTGTGAGCTGTGATATCACAGCACTCTACCCGCAGGGGACAGTTTGATGCTCTGTCTCAAAAAAAAAAAAAAAAATTGTCTTTTCTCTGCAAGGCTTCTTGGTTAAAAGTATTGGTGGTTAAAAGTTTTTGTTGTATTAAAATAGCACACTCAACCCAGTATTTGCCTAAGGCCATTCTACTTAACCTGGAGTATACAAATCTTGACTTTTATTTTAATTCAATAAATGTGGTTTTTCATTTTAGAAATATTTCTCTCATTAATGGGCTTTACATGTCCCTTAAGGGATTCTAACACCCTAATTATAATTCTTAAGGATATATGATTTTAAAACTTAATTCAGTCTTCCCTTAATTTGACCACATTATTTTATTTTCATTCATTTTTGGAAAGGATTATATCTTATTATAAATTTAATGCTCATTAAGAGGCTTGAAGCAAATTATTACCACTAATGTCAGATTAAAAATCTCCAAAATCAAAAATAGTGAAAATCTGTGGTTGGTTGTGGTTTCCACCTTCTAAAATTTTTATAGTGGAGTCATTATGATGATAGGCTCTTTTAAAACAGATTCAACTCTACTTACTCATGATAAACACAAAGAGTAAGAAAAACAAATTAAGATTAGGACACCTGTTGTTCAATTAATGAACCTGGAGTATGAGAAAGAAACTTGAATCTGTGGTTTTACTCAATGTTGGTCTCGTGTTTCTTCTGGTTTTGAAATATTCTTGATCAACTCATACTGTTCATTTAGTACTTGTCCCAAGGAATGACAGTTGGTTTCAGCAGTAGAGGAAAGATTGACTGTGTTAAACTTAGGGATGACAAAATATACTGTACTTCATAGGTGAATTGATTTCCATGATAATGTGTATGTGACTTTTGTCTCAGATACTCACTCGAGTACTCATGTCAGATGTGACTCACTCAACTGGGTACTGAGAATTTAAACTCATGCCTTTGGACTTTTTGATTAATTGACAACAAACAAAATGATCTTTCATAAAAGGAAAGTTTTTTATCATATAGTTCTTTTCCTATTTCAGGCTGATTTGGAGCAATATAAAAAAGCCTTAACTGATGCAGGATGCAATCTTAATCCCTTGCAATATATCAAACAGTGGAAGTAAGTTTTATTTTCTTCTTTAATTCCCATCATTAAGAAAGCACAATTGAAGTTTCATTCCCAAGAAAATGAGAATGCTATTAAGAAAATCGAACAATATGTTGGTTTGTTTTTTTTTATACCCTGTAGCATAAATATTTCCTTATCTGGCCCACCCTCTCCACGACTTAAAATTATATGAAACAATGATGTCTTTTTCCCTAGACAAGCTCTATATTTTCTTTACTGATACGGTAAGAAAGTCAAAGACTGAAATGTTTCACATCAAATGTCTCAAAAGCATTAAAAGGAAATTTAAATTTCACTAGAAATCAGAAAAATGGAGATTAACATAATGCAAAAATTTAGAAGGATACAGGAAAATTGATTCATATATTTATACTCTGCTAGTAGGAATATAAATTGTTGTAAATTTTCTGGATGGCATAAAACTTTTTTGTTTTTGTTTGTTTGTTTGCAGCTTCTGGCTGGGGCTGAGTTTGAACCTGCCACCTCCAGCATATAGGACCAGCGCCCTACTCCTTTGAGCCACAGGCACCGCCCCATAAAACTTTTTTTAATAATAGCTTTGACCTACTACTTCTCTTAAGGATTTCTCCCATAGAAGTTTTAGAGTTGTAAAATCTTAGATGCAGTTGTAATAATGAAATTTTGAAAACCAACCTAAATGTCTAACAATAAGATTGGTAAATGATATGTGTTGCGATAAGATAGAATACAATTGAGCCATTAAAAATCATGTTTTTTGGACTCGGTGCCTGTGGCTCAAGTGGCTAAGGCGCCAGCCACATACACCTAAGATGACGGGTTTGAGCCCAGGAGTTGGAGGCTGCTGTGAGCTGTTATGCCAAGGCACTCAACCCAGGGGGACAGCTTGAGGCTCTGTCTCAAAAAAAAATTAAAAAAATAAAAATAAAAATCATGTTTTTGAAGGCTTACTTAAAACACTGGGAAATGTACCTATGATGTGATAAACAGTTGATTTGTTCAATAAAAATTACTGATAATGAACATGTTAACCAATTTCCCTACCGTCATTGAATTTACATTTGTATTGAGGGAACAGCTAACAAATAATCAAATGAAAGAACAGAATGATGTTAAACCATATTAAATGACACCGAGAAATAAAACTAAATGATAAGATCTTAACTTATTGAGAGTGGTAGCTAAATTTGCTTTGGAGATCAGAGAAAGTCTCTGATCACATTTGAGACATTTGTCTCACATTTGAGACAAAACACAGATGACATTTTATACTGTATAATCGCTATTTTTCCATCTGTGTGTGTGTGAACACATACATAAATTTAATTGCATCATTAAAGTGACATACTCCTAAATGTTAATAATAACTCTACCTCAGTTTTTTCTTAATGATCAAATTTTAAAAAAGGAAAAGAAAAATTATGTTTGAGAAACTAATGTATTTGTGTTTAAGAATTTCTTTTCATTACTAATTGTAGTGTAGGTGAAATGTTTTCTCTTTTTAGATAATTTCTCCATAATAGACTTAGTTAATAGATATTTTAATACCAGAATACTGAATGGTAGCTCTAATAATCAGCCTTTAAACATAACTTTTCTATTTCATAGAGCTTTTACTAAGATGGCCTCAGCTCCTGCCAACTATGGCAACACTACCACTAAGCCAATGGGGTAAGTATTTTTAATAGTTCTGTTTGAATCCTTGTACTCCAAACCTAAATAGACTTTCATGCCTTAAAACAGAATGTCTGACACTTATAATACAGAATGTTTTTATTGTGATACAGAATAAATGTCAATATACCTTTGGCTTCCTTAGATGGTTTAAGTTGTCATATGTTTCCAGTTTTAAAAATTATTAACACATGTTGTACATATTTTTAGGATACGGTATGATATTTTAATACATGTGTACTCTATGGTATGATTATATCCATCAGAATATCCATCACCTCATTTCTCATTTCTTAGCGTTAGGAACATTCAAATTCTTACTTTAAAATGTAAGTTAACATCTTTTCCATGATATGAGCCAAAACTTAGATGACATTACTTAAGTATGACCCCTATTTGTCCATTTATTCATCCAAGTGCGTGCATGAGTATACACATATATACATATATTGAATTGGGTAGATGAAATGACATATGCCTAAATGTGGGCAACTCTAAGTGGTAATGTTTTTTTCCTTTTGAGTGGTCTTATTTCCCTAATTCTCTACAACATTACCTTTGAAATAGTTTTTATTCATATACTTCTTTGTTCTTAAAACATTACATTTTTATTTCCTGAAAATACATGAAGGTTATGTCAATCTTGATAAGTAATAAAGACTTGAAAGTAGCACTCAAGACACTGCTTCAGAATATATTCAGGCATAGTGCTAAGTGACAGGTAAGAAGGCCTCAGGGCTAGGTATGAGTTCTTCCCCCAGAGATTTGAGCAGCACATCTTATTTTCAAAGAAACCAAACAAGGTAATCCTGTCTTCTGTTTTCTATACTGTGCAAGTTTCAAATTATTTTTTAAAGCTAGAACAAAAGCACAAAGCCAGAGAAAAACATGTTTGTTCTACCTCATATTGAGCAACTGGTTTTAATGTAATAATTTCCAAAAACAAAAGCATCAGGCCCAGAGCAAGACCTTATTAAGTACTTACCAAAATGAATCCAGCTGGCCTCACCTTCAGACAGTGCTGTACAGGTTAGCATGCCCCTTCAGGGTGCCAGGAATTGCCTGAGGGCCATTCATTCCAACAAAAATTGCTATTCTCAAATTACAGTGTGCTTAAAACTATCACTAAGGCTACGCAATAAAGGTGTTTATTTTGTTGGCAGCTCTTTATATTTTTAAATAATTACTGAGTATTTTATTTTATGTTGTCAGAGTATTTTATTACTATTTTGTTGTTAAATAAAATTGCAGCAGTGATACCTATGGCAGCTGAAATTCATAAGACCCTTCTGTTTAGTAAGAAACAAAGGTGGCAGGTACAGTGAAGCATCAGCGTGTGGTGTGTAATCAGGCAGCTGTTCATCTGCAGCAGACTGGAGAGGCGATCTGTACTGAATGTGGTCCTCCTTCTCTTTTGCTCCTGCTTAGTCTCTTATCACGAGTCATGAATACAGGATCACAGTTTGTCATGGAAGGAGTGAAAAACCTGGTTTTGAAACAGCAAGTAAGTACATTTGTTAAAAAACATACTGGTAACTTTTAAACCTAAGTGTTGACAGGTTAACTATTCAGGTAGGGCAACTTCTGGAATTATTCAATAAATAGGAATAAAATAAAACCCAGAATCCTTTATTGGTACATTAAAGAATTTCAGGATATTTTCACATGTGTAGCTTAGAGCACTATAATTTTTATGCTTTTTTAATTTACTCATTGGACTTTTTTGACATTTTGGTTTTTTGTTTGTTTTTTGAGACAGTCTTACTACATCGCCCTGGGTAGAGCGCTGTGACATCACAGCTCACAGCAACCTACAACTATTGTTTGTGAAGGGACATTAATTAAAAAGTGAAATTAACCCATTTAGAAAAATGAACTGCTACATAGTGAATATCATTTGTTTTAACATATACTCAGAATATTAATAAGCTAATGTACTTCATAGTCTGACCTATGTAAACAAATATTTTAAGTAGAATTTACATTTTGGAGTAATAAAAGTACAGGATAGATTTCATATTTTGGGTTTTTTTAATCCTTAGTTTTACATGTCTTTTCTTTGTCTGAACTCCTTCCATACTTTTTATCTTTATTATAATATTTATTTGTGTTTTATGTAGACATTGTTTCTTTGCTTTTAACTTCTTCTTGGTAAATTCTTTGTGTGCAAAGAATGTTTTCCCCACATTTGGGTTGGTTTTTTTTGTTTTTTGTTTTTTTTTTTGGCCAGGGCTGGGTTTGAAACTGCCACCTCTGGCATATGGGGCTGGCGCCCTACCCTTTTGAGCCACAGGCACCACCCCTACATTTAGATTTTTCATAGCGCTTCATGTAAAATAGAAAATTTTACTTAAAATAACTTCTTTCTTCAAAGTCTTTATTAGAATAAATGAATAACATTTTATTATAAAAACCATGTAATGCTGATAAAGGATAGTGGAAAATCCTAATTTACTTCATTTAATTAAAAGACTAATAATTTCCAAACTTTCCCTTCAGATACTTTCCAGATTGCATTATTCCCCAAGTACTTGGGAACACTCGTTAGCCTCATTATCCAGGTTAGAAATTATTGTCAATTCTTCCCATGCTATCTCTCTCTTATTAAGGAGCTACTACTAAATACTTAACCCAGTTTTTTACTGGTTCACAGTACTGCCCTGTGTCAGCTCACATCCCACTTGGACTGTAAAAGGTGAAAAGACACAACAATAGGAGGTTTGGGCATATTACAGATCCACATGCTGTAATTTACAGGTTAGCAGTTTAGCCTAGCGCCACTCTTACTTACTGTCAACTGTGGACAAGATGACTTTGTTTTGTGAAACAAAAGAAAGACCACCAATTTCTGAGGTAATGCCTGCCTTTTACTAGACATACTGGCTGTTATATGTATAACCACATGTAGTTTATTTTTAAAGAAAATTACATATTTTTCTTATTGAAAAATCTCAATAGTAAAATACCCTAAATAAAGTATTCCTTCTAACATACAACTTTTAACATTTCAAAATTACAGACTTTAATCATTAGAATGGCTATATTTTCTTTAATTTTATTACCCTAAACCCATATGGTATATGTCCCCAAATGATAACCTGTAAAAGATGTCTAGGTTGGTCTACTGTTAAATATTTTATTGTAGTAACACAAAAGTTTATTTTATTTAGAGTTCATAAAATGTAAAAACAAATTATCCTTTATGATTTCCAATCCTTTTGTTTTTTTTCTTAACATGGCACATTTCATACTGTTGTGACATAGGTATTTTCTCACTTACAGAAATAAAATTTGAAGTCATTGATGGTTACCCCATAAACATATATAACATTTCTTCTACCACTCGCAGAATAGCCATGACATTAAAAAATAATAATAATTTGGAATTAGAGGAAATAATGCACTCACTGGAGGTAGGGATGGGTTATTTAGTATTGTGAAGTAAAAATAAAAGTCATATTACAAAACAATATGATTTTTTTTGTTGCTGTTTAAAAAGAGAAACAAATAGGTGGTGCTGAAGGACATACCCCAGTCTTTAAATGTTAGTATTTTTCTTTGTAGGTGTTCATCACCAACCACATGATAAATTCCTAGAATTGGAATCAAAAGGCTTAGACATTTCTAATTGTTCTTAATAAATGTTACCAAATTACCCTCTAGTAAAGAATCTTTTGTTCTAGAAATATTTAAACTCACAGAAGTCCACTTTAAAAGTTACATTACCCTGAATATTTGAAAATTTAGGGGTACTGTGATGAGAGATCATGGGCAGGTTGAAAACTAAGAGTTAAGAGATGTCAAAGAAGAGACTGCTGAAGAGACCAATGCGGTTTCACATTTGGAATAGTATGAGAAAATTTATGCCTTTTAAATCTCTAAATATTGTTTTAGATTTTTTTACCTGAATAAATAGTTTAAGCTATAAATAAACAGAATAGGATTAGCCATATCCAGTTTTCTAGGTCACTTATAAGAGCTTTTTATATTTTCCATGCAGCATAATGTTTTTGCATCACAAATATCAACTATCACATAAAACCAGTTGAGTGATATTCACAGGTTTGGAATCTATTTGTTTGAGAATAATTGTACAAGAATGTGATGATGAATAATGTAACACGAAGATGCATAATTTAAAAGTCTTCTATTTTGCCTTCTTTGACTTGTTTGCTAAAATAATCCCTCTTTTAAAAATGAATTAACAAGTAAATTGCAAGCAGTGAGAATTCATAGATTAAAAAAGCTGTAAGATATATCTCAATTGCCACTTATCACCTTTAAGATTATTATTTGAATAAGAAAAGTATAAAAAATTTATGCAATAGGGAATTTTAACACTGGATATTGAGCTGTGTAGTGAATATTTCACAATGTATACATAGATCAAAACATCATATTTTACAATCAAAATACATATAATTTTCATGTCCATCAAACCTCATTAAAGCTGGTAGGAGAAATAAATTTTTGTCAGTTATTTTGGACATGGTAATAGTGTTACAGGTTTTTAAGAGTTTTTGTATTTTGGGTATATACACTGAAATATTTATTGCTAAAATTAAAAATTGCCTAAGGAGTTGGCACCCATAGCTCAGTGGGCAGGGTGCCAGCCATATACATCCAGGCTGGAGGGTTCAAACCCAACCCGGGCCAGCTACACAGCAATGACAACTGCAACAACAAAAAAAAAGCTGAGCATTGTGGTGGGCGCCTGTAGTTCTAGCTACTTGGGAGGCTGCGGCAAGAGAATCGCTTAAGCCCAAGAGTTTGAGGTTGCTGTGATCTGTGACACCATGGCACTCTAACAAGGGCAACATAGTAAGACTGTGTCTAATAAATTAAATAAATAAAATTAAAATAACCTAGGGGGTTGGGGAGTATAGACAAAATAAAATTTGTAGCTGGCCACCATAGATCAGTAGTTAGTGCTCCAGCCCTGCATGTCAGGGGCCATAGGTTCCAGACTCACCTGAGCCTGATTAAAAAAATAAAGCAAAATTTGCTGTGGGTTGATAATTGTTGAAGCTGGGTGATAGAGGGGTGGATGTGTTTTATTTGATCCATCCATGATATGGCTTTGTAACAAGTATCACTTTGTATATTTTGTATTTCCTTCCATAAGTTAAGGGTGTTGGATTTACTCTGCAGATCTTCTGATCTGTAATTCTAAAATGTTGGAGAGAGATAGTTGGTCTTATTCCCTCTCCTTCTTTCTTCACTTCATTGGCAACTTCACACCCTTTCTAATCATTGATATATCCCTCACCCCCCACTGTCTGCAAACTCCCTGTTATTGTTTATTAGGTTGATAATACCCTTTGAAGAGATCCACATAGTGACTTTTTCATTCTCTAGGAGTCTGATAATCAGGACAGCAACGACAACACAGGTCCCATACCCAAGGCTCAAGGGGGAAGTTAGAAGTAGTCACCATAGAGCAGATGGCACAATAGGTCAACAAGTGACTAATCTCAGAGAACTCAAAGGGAGGTTATAGAGCTGTCTTACATTTTCTACATTATCTTTTTTAAGTTTCTGTGCAAATTTTATATTAATTCTGTTTTTTAAGCATTTACACCATTGGGGGATAAAGATGTTTTTGCCTAAGCTTTTCCAATGAGTAAAATCAGAAAACATGACTATAGTCATAAAACCAGATAAGATTTCAGGAAGAAATTTCTCACTATATTTCTTTCAAGGCAAAAATTTCTGGTTCATGTGTTTGAAATTTGAAGATTTTACTAATATTGATCTTTAAGATATTCATATATGGGACTTTCTCAGACTTCTATCTGTAATGGCTTTCTCCTAGTAAAACTGTAAGTGTTGACCTATGCAATTTTTTTTTTTTTTACTTTAGAAAACAGCAATTTTCTAAGAACAAAGAAAACTGTACTCAGAAATTTTTAAAACAATGGGTATTTTCATTTGATTAAATTTCCTTTATGCCTCTTTCACTGAGTTACACAAATTTTTTGTGTTTCTAAAGACAAGTCAGGTAACTATGGAGCAAAGGAAATCATATGGTTTTATTCTGATGTTTTCTGTTTGCTAGTATGTTAGCTGTTAAAATCCAGTTTTTTTGATCAGTACAAGTTGATTAACCTTGTTTATAAATTATTCTAAATACTGTATATAATCAATTTTTTAAATGATTATCTCAATTCAAGCTTTCTTTTGGGCAAAGAATGGAAACTAGGAAACTTGGAAGTTGTTTCCTAAAGTGCTCTTTCTTATGCCTTTAAAGACATTTTTTCATCATCCTCTATACCTGAAGCAAATGTGTATGGTGCAGCAGTGGGAGATGATTTTTTTGGTGCAATTTGGTTATAAGGAAATTATTTTCAAAGTATAAAAAACAAAACATAATTTTTATGGTTTAACACATAAAGTATTTCTAAATTATTCTCCATTGCATAGATCTAAAAGTGCAATTCAGGGAGCCAAACACAGAATTCAGTATAGATAGAGAAGTGCATATAAAATTTTAGTCATTTTAAAAAAAATTTATAAAATGATTTATAATGTTCTTTTGCTCCAGAATTTTTTTATTATTTCTTCATTTATGTGGCAAAGTGCTCCATCCTCATTTGTTGTTATTACTTAGAATAAATACTATAGTTTTCTTCTTTGGATGCAGCATTTTTATAGATTAAATCTGCACCTGGTTTCTCTTTAGAGAAATGTATGATTTAGACTTATTCTTGAATGAACAAATTCAATTTTATTTGAAACACAATTTAAAAGGTAAATTTTTGAGCCACTTTTTTAAAATTCTAAATAGTATTCAGGAAGTATATTCAGTCAGCTAGAACATTCGGTGCTTCTGTTTATATTTAAGAGTTCCTGGCCAACACAAATATCAGAGAATAATGAAATAGCTTTAATTTTACTTGCCTGAGACCAGCTGAAAGGTTTTTACTTAGCAATCTAGAGAAAGCAGCATTTTTCCTAATGCTAGTCCATTTTAGTAGCAAAATGTTTATAACCTAGGAAAATGAAAAATCCTTGTAAAATAGTAATGTTATCTACAGGGCTTTAGCTAATCAGTTTAATGTTGTATGACGTCTCTAAGATACAAATAGTACAGTAGATATAAAACTACTCTTTCCAAAACATCCTATACAATCCACAAAGGAAATACCAATTCAAAATGGGTTGAGTACCATTCCAGTAGGAATACACTTTGACTAGACATACATCACTTACTAAATGTTCTATACTTCATGCTGTTATGTTCAAAGTAATAGAACTTGTCAGATTGGAATGTAACAGTAGTATTTCTCATCCCAGGGCCCATAAGCTTGCTGAGAGATAACCTTCTACCAACACCATTGTTGTACATTTCATATTCAAAGGGGAATTTGTTCTGTAAGAATATAATGCAATACAACACTGAAAATGTGGGATGCATCACAGACAAAATAAAAATGGTCCATAGAGTTGTATTTATGTCCATATCCCCATTTTTCAAAATACACAAATATCTTTTACTTAAAGATGAGTGAACTCTATTAGATGATTTAATTTCATACATTTTCACAAATTTTATTTTATTTTTTATTGAGATAGAGTCTCACTTTGTCACCCTCGGTAGAGTGCTGTGGTGTCAAAGCTCACAGCAACCTCAAACTCTTGGGCTTAAGCGGTGCTCTCTTGCCTCAACCTCCCTAGTAGCTGGGACTACAGGTGCCCCCCACAACATGTAGCCTTTTTTTTTTTTTTAAGCAAGCCTAGGCCAGGTTCAAACCAACTAGCATGTGGCCGGCACCCTAATTACTAAGCTACAGTGCCCAGCCTTACAAATTTTATTTTTTAAAAACAACTCTTAACAATCTATAACAAGGAAGTGAAAAATGCAATGGGATTCTTGTTTGATGAAAACAAAAGTTTGCAATTACTAGTATTAAAAAGCAAACACCCAGCCAAGTGCAATGGCTCACGGCTATAATTATAACACTCTGGGAGGCCAAGGGGGAAGGATCCCTTGAGCTCAGGAGTTTAGACCAGCCTGAGCAAGACTAAGACCCCCATTTCTAGTAAAAGTGGAAAAACTAGCCTGGCATTGGGGTGGACACCTATAGTCCCAGCTACCCAGGATGCTAAGACAGGCTGATGGCTTAAACCCAGGAGTTTGAGGTTGCTGTGAGCTAAGCTTACCTGAGCAATAGTGTGAGACTCTGTCTCAAAAAAAAAAAAAGACACTCAACAAAGTAAAAAGCTCAAGCATGCATTTGTACTAAAACCTGAATACACCTGCAAACTTAAAGGAGCTTTTTATTCAGAATTACATTTTTCTGTGGAAACTTTAGTGCCAAAGTTATTAATATCTATGACATCATCTTTACCATTCACAGAATACTTGATCTTAGAATGTGTTTAAAGGTAAGCATAGGGTGGTGCCATAGCTCAGTGGATAGGGCATTGGCCACATACACCAAGGCTAGCAGGTTCAAACTGGCAGGTTTAAGCAGCTAAAACAATGACAACTGCAACAAAAAAATAGCCAGCGTTGTGGTGGGTGCCTGTGGTCCCAGCTATTTGGGAGGCTGAAGCAAGAGAATCACTTAAGCCCAAGAGTTTGAGGTTGCTGTGAGCTGTGACTCCATGGTACTCTACCCAGGGCAACAGCTTGAGACTCTGTCTCAAAAAAGAAAATTAAATAAAAAATAAAAGGTAAGCAGACTCAACTGCTGAATGATTAGGTTGTCTAATTAATAGAGAAGAATTTTGATTTGTTATTCTAAGATTTAACAAAATACTAATCTCTTCCACAGAATCTACCTGTTACTCGTATTCTAGACAATCTGATGGAGATGAAATCAAACCCCGTGAGTAGCTTACAACGTTGTACTTGTAAATTCTTAAATATATCAAACTGACTGTTAAGAAAAATGGTAAAACCAGATTGAGTTTTTTATGAGCTTAATCATAGCAGAGTATATGACGGAAAGGGAAGAGTTGGTGTTCTCTAAGAGCCTTTTTTGGCCATTATCACAGATAGTAGGAATTGGTTTTTTTAGCTGCTATACATTCTGGCCAGCTTTCATTCAATTTTAATGTAGATGATATCGTGTGTGTATGTGTGTATACATATATATACACACATACACACACACATATATATAATTAAATGTAAAATATAGCCTAAAAAGGAAGCTTCTGTAAGTGAGAAAAGAACTAATGAGCATCAGTTAGTATAGAGCACTAGAGTATACTAGTACTAGAGTATATGTGTATATGTGTATACACACATATATAATTAAATGTAAAATATAGCCTAAAAAGCAAGCTTCTGTAGGTGAGAAAAGAACCAATGAGCATCAGTATAGAGTACTAGAGTATACTAGTACTAGAGTACTAGTATAGAGTACAGTATAGTATAGAGTACTAGACCAATCTAATTTTATAAGAATTAAATTTTATGAAAACTAAATTAGAGGAGGCATGAATAGTAAAAAGTTTCAGTGCATATAGTTTCAGTGCATTTTAGATGGCACTAAATTCTTTCGGCCTGAAGAAGTAAATTGAGACAGAAATCATTAGGTTAAGAGACAAATGGGTAAATATTGTTAGCATTTACTTAAGAAATGCATTTCTAAGTTATCTGTTTACAATTCAAGAAAGGAATGTAAAAAATATCACAATCTGTTTCATAAAACATCCCATCCTGTTAACTGTAGCAACCAAAAGGTGGTTATTATCACAAGAGTCTAAAATTAAGAAAAGGCAGCATGATCCTGCCCACATCAAAACCCTGGTTTAGGTTGATCTAAATCACTGTAGACTTTGGAGTGAGGTTTAGGAAACCTAAGAGCATGAGAACAGAATCTTCAGATTAATGTGACCTTTTTTTGTAGTTGTAAAAACATGATTATAATAACATTAAAGGAAATAAATGTTAAAGTTCATCCATGAAAACAAAGATATAATGTGATAAAACATCCCTGAAAGGACAATTAATATTAAGAAAGGAGCAGGAGAATTGTTGATAATGATAAGCTAAAAAGGATTGTATTCCTCCTTCTGGGAATCAGTACAGATAAAGTGGTTAGCAATGAAGTAGTATTTAATAATAGACTTTGTCACTAAATCCTGGAATATGTCAAGAAGGGGCTGTCCTTGAAATGGCTAAGAGAGGTATACATTTTTAAATATAGAGAATACTGCTTCATAATAGGCAACAAACTCCTGGAAGATACTACCCCAAAGAATTATAAAAATAAAAATAAATGCAAAATCTTAGATAGGCACCAAATAGGGGTTAAGGAAGTTTTAGGTATTTTGTTACTGTCTCTAATCTTGAAGTTGAGCTGAAGAATAACAATGGTAAGAGCTAACATTTATTATATTATTTATGTGCCAGGAACATACAAAGCATTTTTGTCCCATTTCGTATAATCTTCACTAGAACTTTCTGAGAAATATGCTATTAATATTCTTATTTTATATGTGAGGAAATGATGGCACAATGAAATCAATTAACTTGCCCAATGACACACAGTTACATAAATGGGATTTTAACCAAAGGTTAAATTTTTTACCATCATTCTGTGTTGATTAGGGTATAAACTATATCCCCTTCATGGAATCCCAGAAATGAATTATAAGTCATTTCAACAGTAGAGGAGCGGCAACCAAAAGATGTTAAGAGTGTTTTCCCAAATCACACTACTTTTAGTAGCAGGACTGGAAACAACAAGCCACTACTTCTAAATTCCTGTCACGCTCATTCCAACATATATATGTTTCTTCTGTATTGCTATCATAAACACAGATAGCTAAATTGTGGATCTTACTCCAGTGTCTTGACAAGTTACAAAAGTTGATTTATCAGTTCCATTGACTTTGACTTTATATCAGTGAAGGCACATTACTCCATACAAATATTTTTTAATTAATCAAAAAAGTAAATTTTTTTCTATTTTGAAATGACTTCATCCGTCTGCTAGGTGAAGCTGCTGCCTGCATTCCCTTATCCCTATCCTATTTCCAGATGGGCAAGCTGATTTAAAGGCACTGAAGAGATTAGTGAAATGCTAAAGAGATTAGCAAAGTATACCTAAATTAGACCTGGCAAGTAATATTGAGTGTATCTATTTTAAATGCTTTAAAATGATAGGACCTAATTCTAGGTACATTCTCTAGTTACATTTTTTAAGTGCTCTCCTTTGATTTCTTAATTGAATAAGTTGAGATTAAGGAAGATATCAGATAGGTTTCATCTTGCCTTTTAAGTCTGACTGGTGGTAGTTTCTTGGAGCAAAGAGTTGAAGGATTCAGACAGGACAGTTGGGTTTATGAAGAGGGCTGTGATAAATTAACGCTGTTCACTGCATACAGGACAAAATAGTAACACAATAATTTGTCATTTATCAGGTTTTGCTAGGATCATCTACCCTCCAAAAAGAATGAGTTTCTTTGGCTGATTCTTCTGTGGAAGGAGAGGGAAGCAGAGATTAGAAAGTAATTACATCATCAAGCAGGGTAACAGGACTTTCCAACTCCTTTAATATCAAGAAACTGTTTCTGGGCGGTGCCTGTGGCTCAGTGGCTGAGCATCAGCCCCATATACCAAGGGTGGCAAGTTCAAACCTGGCCCCGGCCAAACCGTAACAAAAAAAATAGCCAGGTGTTGTGGCAGAAGCCTGTAGTCCCAGCTACTCGGGAGGCTGAGGCAAGAAAATCACCTAAGCCCAGGATCTGGAGGTTGCTGTAAGCTGTGATGTCACTGCACTCTACCGAGGGCGATTAAGTGAGAAAGAAAAAGTTTCTAAGTTACTGTAGAGGTGCACCACTACTTATCCACAACTTCTGAAATCCTAAAAACTCTCAAAACTAAAAGATTTGCTAAACTCATTTGGTAGCAAAAACCTGACCTACACTCAAGTTGCAGCTCTTTATACATTTTATTTATCCTACATTGTGGCAATATATATTTAGGTGTAGAAATACTAACATGTTAGATAATGGGGTGCTGCCCACATATGCAGTAGATGCACAGTGTTACCTATCTAAATTTTTTTAATTCTAAATTCTGAAATACATCAAACACCAAATGTTTCAGATAAGGCATTTCACTAATCTCTTCAGTGCCTTTATATCAGTGAAGGCACATTACTCCATACAGATATTTTTTAATTAATCAAAAAATATTATTCTGTATGCTATATTCAGTAAAATCACAAACATACAAAAATAGTAAAAGTCTAAAACAAAAATACCTAAGTAACCTAGCCATTTTCAGGCCTATAAAACAGGTAAATTTTTGAGAAGCAGTATAGTGTGGTGGTTAAGAAGCTCTCAGGCATTGAAACTAAACTGCCTGGGCTCAAATCCTGGAGTTTCAGTGCTTACTCAGAGAGGTTATGCAACTTTCCCAATGTTGTATAACCTCTCTGTATCTCAGCTTAGTCATCTGAAAAATGGGGCTAACAATAGTAACTACTGGATAGACTGTGAAGGGGTTGAGTGAGTAATTTAAAGTGATCACTAATTCTTAAGGGTGGTGGTTATACATTCTACAAAACTGGTAGATTGATTAAAATAAAATACTCTAATGCAAACTGTGACCTTCTAAAGAGAAATTCCATATTCATGGTAAAGTTCTGTCTTTCTAATAGGAAACTGATGACTATAGATATTTTGATCCCAAAATGCTACGGGGCAATGACAGGTAAGAAGCTGTTGTCTTGTTTAACTTCTTGCAGATTTTTTGCCCTCAAGAATAGAAATAATCTCTTTTTTATTCTAGAGTAGATAACCACTAATAATCATATTTAGCATTTTGATGTTTTTCCTTACAAGAATGCACATACATACAAATACATTTAGATGTTTACTGTTTTTTTTCTTTTTAATGAAATGATATAGGTACTACAAATTAAGCTTGGTGGGGAGAGTTTAGATAGTGTGTGGGGTTTTTTGGTTTTTTTATTTTTTGAGACAGAGTCTCACTATGTTACCCTCGGTAGAGTGCTATGGTGTCATGGCTCACAGCAACCTCAAACTCTTGAGCTTAAATAATTCTCTTGCCTCAGCCTCCCAAGTAGCTGAGACTACAGGCGCCCGCCACACACCCAGCTATTTTGTTGTTGTTGTTGTAGTTGTCGTTGTTTAGCATGCCCGGGTCAGGTTCAAACCTGCCAGCCCCAGTGTATGTGGCCAGTGCCCTTAACCACTGAACTGCAGGCGCCAAGCCACATGTGTGTTTTTAAATGCATGTTCTTATTGCCCTGAATGAAAAGATGGGAGCTTTATGTTGGGTACTAGTCGTTTCATTGTTTTTATTTAACTGGTTCATAAACTTCAAGTTCTGGGAGCCATTACTATAAATAACACTTAATAGCAATGAAACTTTCTGTAAATAATTTCTGTATTTTATGATAAACATCCTATGATAAGGAATTCTTTATTGTGGATTCTATTTTTCAAGAATTAATGGTGATATGAAAAGTAGCTTACAAGATACAGAGAAAGAATAGACAGAGTTAGTGGGGCGAATAACTACTTGGAATAATTGTCTCTAGTACTAAAACTTAGAGGAAGGTAGTTTTCTGTTTGTACCTTATGTGTAGGATCTTCAGAACTTTGTATTTGCTTTATTTCATCCTTCCCCATCTTCCTAGAGAGTTAGGACAAATAATCTAGCCACTAGATTATTAAATCATTTGATACTTAAAAGAATTCTCTTTTCTAAATTTACCAGAAATACTGCCTAAGTTATTCAGAAGAACTGTAGCATCTGCAGTTAACAAGAGGGAATTTAACAAAGAATCAATTATAGAAAGGGGGAATGAAGTTGGCCTTTCACATCCATGGGTTCTGCATCTATACATTGAGCCAACTGTGAATCGAAAATACTCAGGAAAAAAAAGGATGGTTGTATCTGTACTCAACTTGTCTTTATTCCCTAAATGATACTTAATATAAGGCAAACTATATCATTTCCTATATTCTTTATATAGCATTTATATTGTATTAGGTATTATAAGTAATCTAGAGATGACTTAAAATGTGTGGAAAGATGTACATAGATTGTATGCAGTACTGCACTACTTTATATCAGGGAATTGAGCATCTGTGGCTTTTGGTCTGTGTGGAATGAGGTCCTGGAACCAGTCCCCTGTGGATACTGAGAAATGACTATATTTTGCTTCTTAGAAACTGAACTGAAAAATTTTTAATCCTGGAAGTACTTTGTGCGTGATTATGATGAGGAGTATCATTAGCATTGATAAGACGTATGCTTAGAGTTTTATTTTTTTTACAGTGCCTTCTGAGCTATCTCATCACAATTAAGTTTTGGTTATTAATAACTAGTAATACTGTTCTGTTTAAGTCTCCCCTCTCCTCATCCCAAATCTATTTAAAGGAATTTAAACACTAGTGAGGCATTTCAATCAGGTCAGCTTCTAGCCCCTTCAGTGGAATATTCAGACTGGCCGTAGAGATGAGTAAAAGATGATAGAACTGTGTAATTAGGCTCTGAACAATTAAGGAAAGTTATAATAGCTCTCTCTTCTCAGCCGAGATTCTCAAAAATTACTTTTGAGGAAAACCTTTTAAGTCACACTGTAGCCTGTTTTAGTACTCAAAAGAAATACATATGTGACTTACAAAAGCTTTGAAAAATCTCTTTATTAAGGATCTCTTGGACACTAGGAAGTATTGTTAAAATATAATAAATGTATAATAAAGAAGTAACAAGTATACCAAAATACAGGTCCTTCTTCCCATTCCTCCTTTCCTGAGTTATCCTTCCCATACATGTTTATATAGTTTTTGCACAAATTTAGGCATCTATAAGTTATTAATATATAATATTTTGAGGGCAGTGAAAATTTATTCATAAAATATTTGCTTTGTCAATTCATCTTATACTCTTCCTTCCATTTGTCCTCATGGGAGCTGCTGCTCAGTCTTCTGGGATTTTATTTTACAGTCAGTAGGTTGTCAGATTCCCATTTACACTGAGATATCTACCTCTTCTAGTTTCTTCCTCTGCATCCCAGTTCACTACCTGGCTCTGCAAAACTAAGAGGACCTACGTTTCTAAGAGGGTGAAGGAAGAAAATACTTATCTAATAGTGCGTGTGTGTTTTCCAGTGGTGAAATTTTTAGTACAATTTTTCTTTATTACAGTTCAGTTCCCAGGAACAAAAATCCATTCCAAGAGGTAAGTTCCATATAAAATTTCTCTGCTCCTAGAAAGGAAAGATGAAAAAGTAACAAAGCAGTCCTAAAGACTATCTTTGTCTCAAACATGGTGTTTTTATGATTAATTTGTGGCAATCTTGATAAATCTGTGTATTCAAGATTCCTTTAAAAGAAAATTATTCTCAGCAACTATATTTTTCTGATTTATAAAGCTTATACCTTAATATTTTAAGTTTAAAAATAATTGACAAATATAATTAACATAGAAAAAGTCTTTCATATTGCAGTGAAAATTTTGTGTTTGTAAAACTTCTGTGAAGATACAGTGGCTATGTTTTCATATGAAAATAGAGATGGTTTTTAGAAAAAATAAATACAGTAACGTGTATTGAAAATTATATAAATGGGCTCAGCGCCTGTGGCTCAAGTAGCTAAGGTGCCAGCCACGTACACCTAAGGTGGCGGGTTCAGATCCAGCCCAGGCTGCCAAACAACAATGACAGCTGCAACCAAACAATAGCCGGGTGTTGTGGCGGATGCCTGTGGTCCCAGCTACTTGGAAGGCTGAGGCAGGAGACTCGCTTGAGTCCAGGAGTTGGAGGTTGCTGTGAGCTGTGATGCCATGGCACTCTACCCAGGGGGACAGCTTGAGGCTCTGTCTCAAAAAAAAGAAAATTATATAAATGCTAGGATTTCTAATTTTTCTGCCTATAATAAATAACCTCAAACTTAAAAATATCCTTTGGAGAAAGCCTTTCAAAATTATTTAGTATTACTTAGTTGAAGAATGTAGTAATGTTCCTCTCAATTATTTCTGAAAAATCTCTACTTTTTGCCACTGAGTGGACATTATAGGTTTATGGACTTTTTAGAAACAAGTTTTATAGTTGAAGTAACACAGAGTGCTTAGAATATGACCTTTGGCTAGCTGGTAATTTTTACTTCAATTGTAGACTAGGTTCCAGACTAAAAACTATGTTGCTTGACATTTAAAACACTATTTTAGCTATTTCTTTCAATGTACCTATTTTTTTTTCTGTTTGTATTTGTAGGCCATTGTTTTTGTGGTGGGAGGAGGCAACTACATTGAATATCAAAATCTTGTCGACTACATAAAGGTACATTTTGGCCTTTTTATTCTATCATCTGTTGATTTCACAGTTCTGTGTCTTAAGACACTAGCATTCTCTGGTAGCTGTCCTGATCCTTACATAATTGATTTTCTAAGAGGTAGTTTTAAAATCGTGTATCATGTAGAGGAAAATAGTCATTGTTATTCTATTCCTATCACATTTACTTCTACCCTAAAATTGTACTTGATGTGGAAAATAATGTATCTTATTGCTAAAATGCACTTTGCAGCTGTCTATCTTAATATAACTTTAAATGCTTACAGAATCTTAAGCAAGCTCTTCTTTCAAAGAGAGAAGGAAAAAAAAAATCTCCTTTGGTGAAATGATTTACAGAGCTCATTTATATTTGAATAATACACGCTGATTCCCATCCTATTGACTTAAATGCGCAACATCCTTCCAACAAACTTAAAATGTCTTTTTTTTCCCCACAGCAAACAGGACCTTTAGAGATAGCAAATTAGAAGTAGACTGTGACTCAAAGCTGACAGCAGCAAGGAGTAAAAGACAATTAAGCAAAAAGATATGAAGGATGGGGCATAATTTGAAGAGCAAAAGCAACATTTAAAATCTAGAGACAACAGAATCAGCTATTGTTAGACATTTTATAATTTTCATTTATTCATTTAATATTAATAATCACATAAGGCTTTGATAAAGGTAGAAGTTATGTTACAACAAGAGGAAAAAAACACATAAGCAGACATTATGGAGCTCCAAAACTGATCGTTAGAACTCCCAAGATCCTGTCTCAGTTGCATAGAACAGGCTTCAGCTTCAGAACATGAACCACCAAGACATGTGTAAGAGGTTTCAGAGAAGCCGAGTCATGTACAAGGAAGGAGGTTTTGTACCCGTCTGGTTTCATAGCCAAAATTGCATAACCAGGCCAAAAAGCAGAAACCAAGAGAACATGACTGAAATCAGATGCAAGCCCTCTCTTTAAATAGTGCTGACAAGCCAGCACAAGTTGCCCACTGGTCTGTCTTGATCCTAGCACAGAACTGTAGTCATCACTAGTTAGTACATTTCATTCAGGTTTAGCCCAGGGTCAGTAACATGACTGGTTCCAGGTGTTCCCAGGGATAAACACATGGTTGCAATAGTCACTTAAAACATTCCACACATTCTTACCCTGGAGTAAGCTTTTTAATCACTTGTCATCATTCTTTTTTTTTTTTTTTTGACATCTTTTACAACATTTATGTTATGTAGAACAGAAAAACCAGGATTAATGCTGAAATATCATCACTCTAATGAGACATTGTAGTTTACCAGATAATTCAGTGAAAACTTGTTCTTAATCATGCACAAGTATGACAGCCCTTAACCTCTTTCTACTACAGAAATTTGAATTTTGTGAAATAGTATAATGATTATTAACTAAATTAGTTCTTCCCCTAATCAGTCACCTTCCATCAAAAGAACATCTCATAGAGTAAGTTTTAAATTCAATTTCCAATACATTTGCTCCTTTGTGTTCACATTATCATAGGATTTATTCATGTTAATCGCACCAATGATACCAGTAAAGCACCAAATAGCAAGTACAATTATTACTAAATAAATTAAATTTATAGTATTTTTTAATCTTTCTCAACATAATAAGGCAAAAACAGTATAATTGATTAAGGGAAAATTATATTCTCCATTTACTTAAAATGAGGGGACCATAAATCTCTCCTAAGTTTATTCTTCATGCTCATTCTATCTAGATACTTGGCCAATTTCCTTTAACTACCTCAGCTTTTTATTTTTTTCTTAGGCAGAGTCTTATTCTGTCACCCTGCATAGAGTGTGCTGTGGTATCATAGCTCACAGCAACCTCAGACTTTTGGGCTACAGGCACCCACCACAATACCCAGCTGATTTTTCTATTTTTAATAGAGACAGGGTCTTGCTCAGGCTGGTCTCAAACTCCTGAGTTCAGGTGATCCACCTGCTTGAGCCTACCAGAGTGCTTAGATTATAGGTGTGAGCCACCGCACCAGCCCTAACTGCTTCAGCTTTTAATTGAGAAACATACTTACTAATCCTCCTTGAGTCGATGTGTGTGAATCTTCCCCACTAACTGCAGGTTAAATTCTTCTTAAATCTCCTGCAACACATCCTGGGCAACTTCAAATTCAGCAGGCCTTATGGACATCTATAAATTTAGCTAAGAATATTATTCTCTTGCTCTGAGCCCCTTAAAAAGTGCAAAGATAACATGAGCATTCTCTTTTTTGTAATATCCATTTGATGGCTCCTTGAAAGGGTTTCCCTCTTTTCTAGAGTCATTAATTTTTACCCCAGACTTTACCTTGACTTCTGGCTTAGAAGACCATCAGTTTCAGCAGGAGGACTTATCCATAGAACTGACAGCAACTTGAGACTAGCCAGTGTTTTCCCCTTTCACATGAAGTGGAGTTGGATAAGTACAAGCTGTTAAGACTCTTCTGCCCAGTGGTGAGGGCTTTACATTTTGTTTCATACTGACGTAGATTTCTAATGATGTGAGAGAGGCTGTCATAGACCCCTTAGCTCACTTCTTTCTGAATAGAGCTGAATGGTAGGAAAAAAATCAGAATTATTTGGAATAAGGAAAAGAACCCCCTCTTTTTTTTTCTTTAAGTTAGTGGGTCATGACCCCTTTGGACTATATTAAAAACAGTTTGCAGCATTAGGAAGGTTGAGAACCACTTTAAGTAGAGACAGTCACACTCTTGCTCAGACTGGTCTTGAACTCCTAAGCTCAAGCAGTCCACGCACTTTGGCCTCCCAGAGTGCTAGGATTACAGGCATGTACCACCCTTCCCTGCTTAAGTTTTTCTATTTTTAGTAGAGAGGGGGGTCTCGCTCTTGCTTAGTCTAGTCTCGAACTCCTCAGCTCAAGCAATCAGCCCATGTCCACCTCCTAGAGTGCTGAGATCATAGGCATGAGCCACCACACCCAGCTACAAGGCTTCTTTAAAATTACCAACCTATACCTCATTGGATGACACAATATATTAATATTTTAATGTTATAAATGTTGTAAAAGATAGAAAATGAAGAATGAGTGGTTTAAGAAAGCTTGACCAGGTATGGGAGCAGAAGGGGTGTGGAAAATAGAATCAACCCTGTGCTTCTCTCTATGAATACTAGGAAGTATGGTGCTGACATTTCAATAAAACTAGTGGTGAATATAGTCCTTGCTAGAGTCTAGTATAAACAGAGGCAACTTGCACTAGCGTGCCAGCATTGTTTAATAGAACATTTTACAGTTTGCACGTGTGTTACCTGTCATGTTCCCTTGGTTTCTGCTGTCAGCCTGGTTGTGCATCCTGATTTTGCCTATCTGACCAGACAGATATTTAAAAACCTCTCCTTGAATGTTACTAGAACTCCCCTGAGAACAAAGTATCTGGAATATATTTTGGTGGTTCACAATTGAAAATGAAATGCATCCTGTACTACTAGGGTAGGATCCTGGAAACTGCATAGACGTTTTGGACCTCTCTAATACCTATGCTTTCTTTCTTCTTGTACAGTGTAACTTCCACCTTTAAAAATCCCTCATAAGTGCCATGTGTGGTGCCTCACACCTGTAATCCTAGCACTCTGGGAGGCCAACGTGGATGGATTGCCTGAGCTCACGAATTTGAGATAAGCCTGAGCCAGAGCAAGACTTGTCTCTAAAAATAGCCAGGCGTTGTGGCAGGCACCTGTAGTCCCAGCTAGTTGGGAGACTGAGACAGGAAGAGCACTTAAACCCAAGAGTTTGAGGTTGCTGTGAGCTATGACACCACAGCATTCTACTGAGGGTGACACAGTGAGACTCTTGTCTCAAAAAAAAAACAAAATATTTCCTTGAGTATATCCTGTGTACCCTCAATTATATGACCCTCTGCAGTTACTTCACATACCATTTCATTTTGGTAAAAAAAAAAAGTAAGTGAAATGTGGCTCTTCTTTTATTCTCAGAGATGGCCAGCTCTCAGACATGTATTTAGCCAACAATGTTTATTCAGCTTATACATCACAGAGAAATGTCCTCTTGTGTTACAATGCCAGTGTTCTTATGATCTTTGAATTATCAAATTAGTTTGTTGTAGAATAAACTTTATAAAAAAAACTTAACAGTTTACCTTTAAGTTCACAATACATACAGTAAGTTCAGTACTAAGGACTTAACCAAAATTCTCTAGTATAAAAGTTTTGACTGTTGTGATTGAGTTTCAAAATTCTGTCAAAATTAGGAATAAAATTCATAGAGTTACAAAGTGGAATGAGAAATATTAACTCATAAATAACTGTTGCACAGTTGAGACTAAAAGGACAATCCATGCTACCTGCACCAAATACTACTTTTAGCATAACAAAACTCTCAAGAATATGTTCTTCAAGTAATACACATCCTACAATGGAAGGATGTTGGTCTGAGATTTTACAGATAACTACTGCCCCTGTAAAATGTTGCACTCATCAGATTCCCTCTATTGATGGTATAATAGAAAATAGAACTAATGATGTGCTATAGTATATATTTTGGGGGGGAAGTGTGCCTATTTCATCACTTTATTGCTCTTTATTTCATGAAATCTTGGGATAGATATATACACTAAAATTCAACACCACCACCACCACAACCACCCCAAAAAAGGCCTATGAAGGGGGAGGGGGAGTCCTAGCAAGTGAATCTCTTTCCTTGGGAACACTGAAAATATTTCTAGTTACTGGTATCTGAGTTCTGGCTCTGATTTTTACAGGGGAAGCAAGGAAAACACGTTTTATATGGCTGCAGTGAGCTTTTCAATGCTACGCAGTTCATCAAGCAGGTAAAGTACACCCTTTTAAGTGTGTTTCTGTTAAAGAATATCAACAGCAACTTGGGATATGTTAAGAAAGAGAAACACCTGAAATAACATAAGGTTTGCCATGGAAAACTCTGATGAGTAACATTTCTATTATCACAACTCTTATGAAAGGGCAAATTCAGAAAATTCCAAATCAGAGTAGTGTACTAAATTAGCCAAAACTTATTTTAGCATTTCCTTGCTGTCCACATTTCTGACTTAGAAGGCATATCACTTATGGGGCCTAAGAACTTAAGTAGCTTTCATAGGAGATAGTATGCTCTCAGTTGATGCAGTGGAATTGTGTACCTCGAAAGTTAATAACAGCAGTAACTGAGATGTACATATTACCAATACAATTTTTTTAGTATTATTCCTGCTAATGTTCTCAGTAATTATATTGATCTTAGCTTTCTGAAGTTTTAACTAATTGGGATGCTTAGTAGCCTGACCAATAATGACCACTCACCTTTGCCTTGGCTGCCATAAAATGTTTAACTAAACCCTGTACTCATTGTTAGCAACTATTCTCAGCATTGATTTTCCAGCACATCTTCCTTACCCTCCTGTGGCTTTTGTCTTACTAACCTTCAGTTAGTGACCCAACAGTATTATAAGAATTTGAAACATACAGAAAAGTGGAAAAGAATAAACACTTCTGCACTCCTCATCAAAGGTGTTACAATAAACACTTCTGCACTCCTCATCAAAGTTTTACTGTGCTTGCTTTATAATTATTATAAGATTCCTATACATCTCGCAATCTACTCATTGCTACAACTTATTTTATTAATTTCAAAATAAATTGTCACTGTTAGTACATGTCCCCCTTAACACTTCAATGCCATTATCATTACCTTAAATTCATCATTTGTTTAGTTCCCCTCCACCCCTTTGGAGGTAAAATTTACAACAGTGAAACACACGTATCAAATGGGTATATTCAGTTTTGCTGGGTGTATTCACCTGAGTAATCCAGACCCCTCTCAAGATGTAGAACACTACCATCACCTCATTGCCTTTGCTAGGCAGTCCTTCCCAAATACCGTCTGGGTATTTTTCTACCATTAGTTTTGCCTATTCTAGACTATCATGTAAATGGGATTTTTTTTTTCATAGTTTATCTAGAAGAATCTTGATTTTAATAATCTTTTTAATGAACCAGATGTTATATTACTTTTCTATTTCACGGATTTATACTCTTTGCTTGTTTGTTAGTTTATTTTTGTTTTTTTAGAGACAGAGTCTTCACTTTGTCACCCTCGGTAGAGTGCTGTAGCATCATAGCTCACAGCAACTTCTAGCTCTTGGGCTTAAGCCATTCTCTGGCCTCAGCTTCCCAAGTAGCTGGGACTACAAGCGACTGCCACCACACCTGGCTGTTTTTTCTTTTTCTTTTTCTTTCTGGCAGTTTGGCCAGAGCCAGGTTCAAACCCACCACCCTAGGTATATGGGGCTGGTGCCCTACTCACTAAGCCATAGGCGCCGCCCAATTTATACTCTTAATTATTCCTTCATTCCGATTACTTTGGATTTACTTTGCTCTTCTTTTCCTAGCTTCTTAAGTTGGAAAATTACTTAAGTTATTAACTTTAGTTCTTCTTTTCTAAAATAAGCATGTAGAGCCATAAACTGGGGAAAGAACATACTATTCAATAAGTGGGGCTAGGAACATTGTATAACCATATGCAAAAGAATGAGACTGGATCCCTATCTCTCATCATATGCAAAAATTAACATAAGATGGATCAAAGAGTTAAATGTAAGACCTGAAATCATAAAAATTCTATTATAGACGAAAACCTAGGAAAAACTCTTCTGGACATTGACCTAGGCAAAGAATTTATGACTAAGCCCCCAAAAGCTAATGCAACAAAAATAAAAATAGACAAATGGGACTGGATTAAGCTAAAAAGCATCTTCACAGCAAAGAAATAAAAGAGTAAATAGCCTGTAGAAAGGGAGAAAATACTTGTAAATTATGTATTCAGCAAAGGACTAATATCCACAATCTATATAGAGCTTAACTCAGGAGGCAAAAACAACCTCATTAAAAAGTGGACAAATGACAGGAAAATAAGCCATTTCCATATAAAAGTTGACGCAAGATGAAGCAACAAGTGATAATACAAAAGCTACAATAAGTTATTTAGAAGCTCTAACTAAGATAATTGGTGAAGGTGGCTGCACTAAACAGATTTTAAATGTAGACAAAACAGTCATTTATTGGAAGATGCCATCTAGAACTGTCACAGCTAGAGAAAAGTCATTGCCTGGCTTCAGAGCCTCAAAGTACGGGCTGACTCTGTTGTTAGGGGTAAATATAACTGGAGACTTTAGGTTTAAACCAGTGCTTACTTGCCATCCTGAAAATCCTGGGGCCCATATGAATTATACTAAATCTGCTCTGCATATGTTCTATAAAGAGAATAACAAAGTTTGGATGATAATACATCTGTTTACAGAATGGTTTACTGAATACTTTAAACCCAGTGTTGAGACCCACCCCTCTGAAAGAAAGATTCCTTTCACAATATTGCTGCTCGTTGACAATACATGTGATCATTCAAGAGATCTCCTGGGCGTATACAAGACTAACGTTTTCATGCCTTCTAACACAGGATCCATTTTGCAGCCATAGATCAAGAAGTTCTTTTAAGCCTTGTTAGTTAAAAACATTTCATAAGATGATAGCAGCCCTAGATGGTAATTCCTCTGATGGATCTGGGCATTGACAGTCAAAATAAAAACCTAGAAGGGATTCAGCATTCTGGATATCATTAAGAACATGGGAAATTTCATGGGACAAGTTCAAAATATTAACATTTCTTGGAATTCAGAAGAAACCAATTGCACCTCTTATGGATGACTCAGAGATTCAGGACTTCAGTGGAGATGCATTTTGGCAAATGCAGTTTGCCATTCTTTTCCTATTTCTTGTGGTGGATCTAGCAAGAGAACTAGAAGTGGAACCTGAAGATGTGACTAAATTGCTACAATCTCATGATCACATTTGAACAGATGAGGAATTGTTTTTTACAGAAGAGCAAAGAAAATGGTTTCTTACAATGGAAACTACTCCTAGTGAAGATACTGTAAATATTGTTAAAATTACAAGCAACAGCAGGACTCAAGAGGCTTGACTCCCAGTTTTGAATGAAGCGCTGTAATGGGTAAAATGCTACAAAGAAATCTTTCATGAAAAGAAGAGTTCATCAACGCAGGAAACATTGTTGTCTTAAATTAATTCAACCACTTTATCCCTCAGCAACTACCACCTGATCAGTCACCAGCCATCAACATCAAGCCAAGACCCTCTACCAGTAAAAATTGCAAGTCATTAATAATTCAGATGGTCATTTTTAGCAATAAAGTATCTTTAATTAGCATATGTACGGGGGGGGGTGTTTAGATATAATGCTGTTGCACACTTAATAGGCTACAGTAATAGTATGAACATAATGTTTATATGCACAAGCCAGGCAATTCATGTAACTAATTTCATTGCATTGGTCATGAACCTAAATCTGCAATATCTCTGAGGTATACCTATACTTTAAAGATGTTATTCCACTGTCTTCTTGTCTCCATTGTTTCACATGGGAAGTCAGTAGTCATTCAGATCAATGTAATTATAATGGACCATTTCTCTCTGGCTGTTTTCAAGATTTTCTTTTAAGGTTATGATATATCTACAAATGACTTCTCTTTATTTATCTTGCTTGGAGAACACTAAGCTTCCTGAATCTATAAGATTATACCTCCACCAAATTTAGAGAATTTTCAACCATTATTTTTTTCAAATATTTTATGCCCAATTTTCTTTCTCCTTTGTTTTTGTGATTCCATTTACATATATGTTTGACCCTTTATATTACTCCACAAATCTCTGTGGATTCTTAGAGTGTATAATTTTTTACTTTGTCTTCAATTTCACTAAGTTTTTCTCTGTTATTTCCATTCTACTATTCAATTTTAGAGTTTTTATTTGGTTCCTTTTTTTGTATTTTCTGTTTTCATGCTGGTATTATCTTTTCAGTCATTGTAAGCATATTTTTTACCTTCACTGGGGATATTGTAGCTGCTTTAGAATCTTTTTTATTAATTTCAACATAGAGGTCTTCTCACTGTTAGTCACCAAACATTGTCTTTTTCCCTAGAGAATGGATCACAGTTTCCTGTTTCTTCATATATTAACTAATTTTAGATTGTATCATCAACATTGTGAATGTTATGTTTGGGAGATAAAATTTCATTTTCTAAGAGGGTGTTGATTTAGGGGGTTATTAGAAAGTTAACCTTGGTTATACCCAAGCTTCAAACTGTTTCTTAGGCAGCAGCTCACATCACACTTCTTAGTTTCTCCCATTTGTGAGTGGTTCAGGGTTTCATGAGGTTGAACATCACTAATCCCAAATGCTCTAACATGAGATAGTGATATTTTGCTTTCTGATGGTTTTATGTACATACTTTGTTTTATGCACAGAGTTATTTAAAATACTGTATAAAATTACTTTCAGATTATGTGTGTGATGAATTTTGTATTTAGACTTGGGTTAGGTCCACCAAATATTTTATTTTATATATGCAAATACTCCAAAATCCAAAAAAGTTTAAAGTCTGAAACACTCCATTGCTAAGCATTTGAGATAAAGGCTACTTAGCCAGTACACAGAACTTAGGGCTCTGTCTCACTGGCTCTCCTTTCTAGGATTTCTTCAGTTTCCAGTAGTTTTAGGTGCCCCAGACACTCTCCTCTGAATCTTCAGGCAAGAAAGACTACAATTTTTCTGTCACAGTTCTTGCTGCCCCCTGTAACACCATTCTGTGGCCTACCTTCTTGCTAAATGCAGCAGAAGCAAGGAGCTCACCAGCACTGTTCCCTTTTTCTAAGTGTTGACACTTCTCTAGAACTACTTGCTTTCAGTTGCTCTCCACTGCCTTTTGTTATTGGTTTTTGCATTCTGTTTAAAGTTTATAATTTGTTATCTTTGGGAAGGTTAATCCATAGGAATTTCCCTAGGCTTCTAAGATTAAAAGCCTTTTCTTTTGCTTTTAATGATTTTTTAGAAATAAAGTAGAACCTCCATAGTTGACCACCTCCTTCTGTTGACCTCATTTTCATAGACCACCCATGCACCCCATATATGTATCATAGTTCCTTATGTTGACCACCTCTGTAAGTTGACTAGTTTGTTACAGTCCCTTGCATGGTGAACTTACAGAGGTACTGCTGTTATATATGGAAAACTGTAAGCAGCGAAGATTCCTGACATTTTTCTTTTCATTTTCATAGTTAATATTAATTTATTTCCAGGGTTTTTGTTTCCTGTGAGTTAAATTTACACCTAATAATGTCTATATTTCTTTGCCATGACAGTGTTTATTACAGTTTCATTTTTAAATATCCACAAATAGTGGTGAACATTAAATTAAAACTTATTCTAGAAGTGCAGTGAATAAAATTAGAAACTTAAATTTGATGGAAGTGTTTTCTTAATGTGTTTACAAATGTTTCATTGTTTAAGCATCTTTTGTAATTTAAGCTAAAAGTTATATGTATAATTTTGTGTTTTGTTTCAGTTGTCACAACTTGGACAAAAGTAACAAAGAAGAACCTTACTCTGATAAGCTCCTTGGAATGTGGATAAATGTAAAAAGAAAAGTCGAAAAAGCCAGATGTTTCCTTTTCCATAACAATGTCAAAATGTGAAATTCAGATTTGTTTATTAATTTTTAAGGATATTCTGTACTTAATATAATGTATACTAATTAAAAGAATAAAGCATTTCAGAAATAAATTTTAACATTGTTCATTCTTTTTCCTGTTTGACAAATGAGAAAGTACTTTGGAAGTAAGGAAAACTTTATCTCAATAGAATATTAAAATATTAATGATTAACAGATTATAATTGAAGTTAGTGGAAATTTAAGGATATCGTATCCAAATATTACTGGTTTGGTTCATGAATCCCTTACTTGTGTGCATTTTAATTGCACAGCTACTTTCTCATAGTCCGTTGTTTCCTTTCTGGTCCTTAAATTTTACATGGGGTTTTTAAAGCCACTTTACTGTGTCTTCTCCCTCTGGCACTTCCATGTACATTTTATCACAGGAAGTCCTTTTATATAGTGGTGACAGGACAACACTAACATAAAGTAAAATGGACAAATACAGAACATTCATTCCATAAAGTTCTAAATAATAAGTAAAAGTATTAAACCTGGGTCTAAGCTACTTGGTATGCAGTACCAACAAGGAGTGTGGATCATACAACTCAAGGTATCCATAAGATAAAACCAAGCTAATGGCTAGGTAGGTGAAAACAAACTCTTCCTGTTACATGCATGAAGGCTAGGGAGCTTTCCCTCTTAATGAGCCTCTCAAGAGGACTCCAGTGTTCCAGACAGTGTGCTGACAGTCCATATAAGATTCATAGGACTATTTGAGCACCTCAAGTTCCGTGAATTAGTGCAATCTTACCAAAGCTCTGGTCAAGAAAGATAACTGTAAGTGAATAATGATATGCTAATCTGACTTTTTCCTGGGACAAAATTTAATGTATGTGGAAGAATAGAACGACTGGGTATATATGAAGGAGTTTTTTGGGGTTTTTTGTTTTTGAGGTAGAGTCTCACTATGTCACCCTCTGTGGAGTGTCATGGTATCACAGCTCACAGCAACCTCAAACTCTTGGGCTTAAGTGATTCTCTTGCCTCAGCCTCCCAAGTAGCTGGGATTGTAGGCACTTGCCACAACGCCTGGCTATTTTTTGGTCATTGTAGTTGTCATTCTTGTTTGGCAGGCCCAGGCTGGGTTCAAACCCACGAGCTCCAGTGTATGTGTGTGGCTGGCGCCCTAGCCACTAAGCTATAGGCGCCAAGCCAAGTGCAGGTGTTTTTTGATAAAATTTTCCCTTCGGGTAAATACCCAGTGGTAGGATTGCTAAATCAAATGGTAAGTCTACTTTTAGTCCCTTGAGAAATCTCCATACAACTGTTTTCCAAACAAGTGTACTAATTTACAGTCCTACCAGCATCATCCATGCCAGCATCTATTGTTT